TTCATATAACTGCCATCACTTTATCCGCTTGTAATCTTGAATATGTTTGGTGGAAGCTAGGAGAGCTTCTTCTCCTTTTTTTTTTTTACTTTTTCACTTTCACCGAGAAGCAAATGTGTTCTAAACAACATCCCAAATAACCAAAAGGCCAGAGCCCGAGATTGGGGGACCCCTGGTTTAATTAACAATCATTTTTTTAAAAAAAAACTGTATCAGACCCTTGTTTGATATAACAATCCTTTACTTTCTCAATTTTTAAAGGAGACTAGAATACATTAGAATTTTATCATGGTGGAGCTAATGGAATTGACTAAGATGGTGAAATTGACTTCTTTGATGAGATAGATCTTGTCTAGCTTTTTTCCAACTGGAAACAACTTTTGGACTCTTTCCTTGAAACTGAAAGAAATGCAGTTGTAATTTTGGGATTTGATTATTATGATTACAGAAATACTTTGTATTATTGTTGATTTTAGAATAAGAGGTTAATGTATTTTATATTTATATCTATATGGAAGAAAGTTGGAAGCTACTCTTTTTCTATTTTCCCCCTTCTTTTCCTTTTCCGCGCTTCTAATTTTGCTTTTATTCTGATCTTTTTTCCTAATTTATATTTTTTTTCTTTCTTTATATTTTTATTCAAGTTTAATAAAGTTTTCTTCTAAAAAAGAATTTTATCCATTCAGAATCTTCAGTTAAATGGCATTCTTAGTGAGGCCAACCAAAAATTATCACTTAATAATGGAGTTTGAGTGTTTCTCTCATGGATCAGCAGAGCTATCTTTGTTTAAGCCTATAAGTAACTTCCTTTTTTTCTTCTCTAATGTTTTTCCCATCAAGATTCTATTCTAGGAAATTTCTTATTAAAATCCTTAAGGACTAATCTAAATCTTCTAATCCAGCTGCTTGAAGTATGACACGCACCATTACTGATCAGTAGCTATTTCAAGCAATGAAATCTAGACCTTTCTGTTTTTTCCAGATAGCATAACCAAAACAACAGTTCTGCTCCAACAGGATATTGTATCTCTGATAACAAAATATCCCAATTAAATAAATTTGCCTTTAGGGAAAGAGAGGCACTTAAAAATCACCTTACCTATTAAAGAATAATTGAGCTAAATAAAGAAAGATCCTTTCAAAACTCATATGATGTGATTTAAACCTAAAAATTGTCCTTGCCCTTAGATCAGGGGTGTCAAACTGGCGGTCTGCAGGCCAGATGCGTCACAAACAGGCCACACCCACCCCAGCTCCGCAAAGGGAAAAAACGTCGTGAAACGTCACATGACACTGAGAGTTTAACACCCATGCCTTAGAAGATTATTGCCAATCATTGACATTAATCAGGTTGATTTTATCCATGTCACACAGAAACAAAAACATTTTGTAATAGTCATAGTTTCTAAAGCATTGCTATTTTGCTCTTCCTCTTTCTTCTGCATGTTGTGGACATTCTGTCCTCCTTCCCATTTCTTTTCATTTTCATAGAATCCCTTGAGTTGAGCCTAGATTCAGAACTAGTCCACAGTTAATCAAAACAGAAGTAAAGATTTCCTATCGCTTTCTCACAGACATGTCATCTGAAGAGTGCAGAGAATAAGTATAATAAATCTTGAGAGTTGATTTTTAACAAACTTGTGGTTGGGCAAATTATTATAGCAGAAGTTGGAGAACTTCATTATCAACAAAAATGAGAAAAAAACATTATGCTCTTTTGCATTTTCCTGATACTCACAAGAGTGGGAAAAAAAAGTTAAAATGCTCTGGGGAGTTTAAAATAGCTCTCAGCTCAAAAAAAAAAAAAAATTCCAAAGGTCTTCAGCTCAGCAGTGCAGATATTATGCAAAGGAATAACAATGCTTGTAGTAATCGTGATACTGCCACTACTAAGAATAATCGTATAGGTCATCAAATAAGAATGGAAATGTACATAATTTTACAAAGGATGCAGGTTACGCTATAATTTCCATTGAGTTTGTTTTCAAAATTGTCATGCATCTGTGGCAATCAAGCTCTGAAAACAAACAAAAATGTAGGGGTAGAGCCCATACCTCAATCTTCAATAAACATATCTAAAAATCGGATTTGTTTTGAGTTCCAGCCAAAGATTGTTACTGCTCAGTTTTTCCCTCTGCAGCCATCCAAAGGAACTAGCCCTTGCTCTCCACTCATCTCACACCCCTCCTATTTTTCCTTTTCCTGCACCTGTCGACTCATGTCTGAATATCAACTTTCTATGTAACAGCTCCAGAGAACTGGCAAGCCAACCTCAAGCAAATCCAGAAGAAAAGAAAAGAGAGCTGTTACACTGGAAAAATCTAATGGACAGCTTGTTTAATTGGGCATTGATTTCAGGATTTCAGTTTGGTCAACTACACAATAGGGATGGCTGGACAGCAGCATTGCTCTAAACATTTTTCCAAAATCCAGTTGCATTTTGTCACTGCCCCTCCTCTAATTTTTTTTTCACTATATTTGTAGCTCACCTTTCCTCCAGGAATTCAGCCCTTCTTCCAATCTTCCCTTCTCTCTCACACACACACAGCTGTGTGAAGTATGGAGGACTGGGAGAAAATAACAAACCCAGTCACCCAATGAACTTCTATGTTGGCCAGGGCAGGAGGAAGACTTGAACCTGGATCTTCCTAGTCTTAATCCAACACCCTGTCCACCAGATCACTTTTCTCCCTTCCTTCCTCTGAAGAAAAGCCTTCCTAACCAGGTGCTCAAAATACACAGAACTGTACAATGTTGAAGAGCATTCCTAGACTGTTCCTGAAGTCTGTCTAGAAATGCTGATTCCTTTCAAATACAAACTTAATGAATCATCAACTTAGTTGCAAGGAGTCTTTGTAATTCTAGAAAACATGCCCTTACACAGTTTCCCCACTCCACCCCTCCCAATTCGTATTTAAATAAAATAATGTTAGCTAGTCTTTAGATAGTCTTTGATTACCAGATGAGGGAGCTCTGTGCCAAAGGAGAGACTGCAAATAAACTTTGTTATTGCCAATATAGACTTCTCCATGCCAGGTAAACTGCCTCAGATTCTGCAATGGGAGGTGGGAGGGATGGGGGTGGGGCTCGGGACACAGCCATTCAGTGGCAGACAGGAAAATATCCGGTGGTTCAGTTAATGCACATGTGCATATATGACATATATACATGTCCTTAATACATAGCATATATCTGAGGTGCACACCGCAGCCACTCTGAGTTTACACAGGAAATCTCGGTTTCAATTATGAACCCAGGAGAAGTTTAGAATCATGTTTGAAGACTCATTTGGCAATATTCTCTTTGAGATTTGGAGGCAGGAACTTCTTTTAAAGAAGAACTTAAAACACTTTATACCAGATGGATGGGGACTACTGTAGTTTAATTGTCATGGAGAGTGGCAATTATCTTGTTATGGCTTCAATAATCAGAGCAATTTGGATGAAAAGACAACAAAACAGTTTTATTTTATTTTTTTGCACAATTGTATACAATGAATGATGGAATGATTTATGTAGCCAGCTCTCTGAAAGAGCCATACAAGGTTTTTTTTAAAAAACGGTCTCTATAGACAGAAAGGGAGCAAAACTTCAGATTCAACTCACTGAATCTAAAATGCTAATGATCAACACCACCAGGGATAAAGTAGTTGTCAAGTACACTGAGCACAAATTTAACAATCAAAATTAATACGAGGAGTCTGATCTCCAGAACTCATTGCATGCAGATTCCTGCGGGCTGTATTTAATCAAAATGGAAGGAGAAAGAATATTGATTGTCTTGGTCACTTTAAACAGTGAAATGCCTTTAAAAATCCCTCCATAATCATAAATAAGTTTGCAAAGAGAATCTTACATGGGCATTGCCTGCAAGCTTCTTGCTGATCTAAAACCAGCAGAGTAATAAATACCTTTACCTTCTCGACATGACTAGATTAGAAGTCAGAAAGGGACAAGTGAAACCATTGATACAGTTGGTGATTTAATTAGTCTACCACTTGAAATGAATAGTTGTTTTATATTATAATATAACTTAACCTGAACAGATCATTCCACTTAGGTATCTCGCTGTGATTATTTGGATTATGCCAGCTGCAGTTTTTTAAAAAAGTTCTGATTAATGAGTCGTTGAATCACAATAAGATTTTAAGCAGACAAGATTCTCAATCTATGAGATATTTTGTGGATAGCTACAATCATGAATTGTAGATATTTAATGTAATGAATGGACAGTGAAGATGATTTAGCTATGCCTAGCAAAATTAGACATAGTCTCTATGTAACCTCCTAAACACTAAGATTTGAAGAAAACTGTCGTTAGACAATGAAGAATGAAGCAATACTAGAGAAAACTTTACACTCTGATATGAAGGTAATAAGAGATACAATGCTTATTCAAATATGAGGAAATTAATAAAGTTTAATTGAGATGATACGGGAACTGTTCCTTAACAGTATATTCTAAGTATAAGAAACTTGGAGACAGTTGCAGCAAAGCACAATCTCATTATTAATACGGACAGTACAAAAAAGTAAACATTTGACTTTGCATGATTCCTAAAAACTGTACAACCCATCCAACTTCTTGCCTCATCTGCTGATAAAAACTGCCAGTATCACTTAATTCCTGCTTGATTTCAGGAATTTCCCTCTAAGGAGCAGCTGATAAGTTCAATATCATTGCCATACTAAGAGGTAGTTGAGTATTGTACTACATAATAAAAATAAAAGTGAAACAACAAAAACCTCCTTTGGAGTAGGAGGCTCTCATATTCAAATCCAATATGCCCTTCCTTAAATATTTCTGTAGCCCATGAATACAACAACATGAGACTCTTCCCACACTTGAGGTAAAGGTTTGCTCACCAAGAGCCGTTGCTATAGTCACTATAGCCTAATCCCTGCTCAGGCCCTCTTGCAGCCACAACAATCAAGACAACAGGTAGCCATTTTTGCTATGCTCAGTCTGGTGGGACTTAATGCTACCATGCAACACAGTACCTTTGCAATGCACAAACTCTTCCCCAGTAGGGGGACTTCCTTCTTCACACAGCCATTGGCCAGCCTTGTGTTCACTTGTATGATAGTCATTGTGATCCCCATTGCAGTCACCTTTCCCATTGCTATTGGAATATCCATTGACGTACATTTTCAAGGCAGACCTCCGGAAACACAGGATCTCCTGGAAAGCATACCTGAAGTCTGGGCTTCGGCAGTAAATTAAAGGGTTGAAAGCAGAATTGACATATCCCACCCAGTTCAAAAAGATATACACATTTTTGGAAATCAAGGTCTCTTCAATAGCACGCACAATGTGGACAATGAAAAATGGGAGCCAACACAGAGTGAAAGTACCCATGATAATGCCCAGAGTTTTGAGAGCTTTGTGCTCTTTCAAGCAAAACTTTGATGTTTTCCTATGGTTTCCTTTTCCCGCATTTCGCTCCTGGTTGGAATTTTGCTGATGGAATCGTCCTTCACATTTGTCTATTTTTTTTAGCTGCTTCTTAGCGACCTGGAAGACTCTGGCATAGACGAAAACCATGACCACCAAAGGTACATAGAAGGAGATAACCGAGGAGGTAATAGCATACTCCTGGTTGATGAAGAAGTCGCAGCAGCTCTCATTCGAATAGCAATACTCGGCATCCCGCCCTTTGTCTCTGTACCACTGCATCTGGATAGGTAAGAAGGAAGTCAAGATTGAAATGATCCAAACCAAGAGGATGACCATCCTGGCTTTATTTTTGGTCAAAAGGCTCTGATACTTGAAAGGAGAAGTGATGGCAAAGTACCTGTCCACAGCAATGACACACAGCGTCTCGATGCTGGCTGTCACGCAGAGGATGTCAATTGAGATCCAAAAGTCACACCAGAAACTCCCAAACTTCCAGGTGCGCTGAATGATGTAGCTGGCTCCGAAGGGGACCACTCCCAAGCCCATCAGGAGATCCGCACAGGCCAAAGAAGTGATGAAATAGTTAGTGACCGTCTGCAGCCTCTGGAATTTGGCGATGGCCGTGATGACCAACACGTTGCCAAAGAGGATGGCCAGCACGATCAAAGACATGAGAATGGACATGCCCACCACCCAGCCTTCTCCCGACGAGGTGGAATTGTCCGGGCTCTGCCTGTTACTGCCGTTGGCGCTCAGCTTGAGGTACACCGAATCGACGGGGCTCAGCGTCACCATTGTGCCAGGTAGCCCTCGAAAGAAGCCTCGTTCTTTTTCTCGGCCCCGGCCGATCCGGAATAGGAGCCAATCCCGCCGGGGCGCTCGGCGAAGGCGCTGCCTCGCTCGGCTTGCTTTCGTCGGCTCGACAGTTCCAAAGTCCCCGTCCACTTAACCTTTGCAGGAACTCGGCTCCCAGATGCTACTGGCCCGCTGGAAGAGAAGAGCCGGGCTTGGCAAGCGAACCGGGGGGTGGACGCGATGGTGCGCCTCATGCAGCCAGCAGTCTGGACGGCGTGTTGTCGCGTCCTGTCCTCGCCTCGCCTCGCTTTGATCACCTCCCGCGCGCCTCGAAGTAACCCTTGCCGGCTGGAACTTGTCCGGAGCCCGTTATGTTTAGGGAGTTTATAGGAACTCTCACTTGTGACGTCAAGCTACCTTCAGCCAATAGCCTGCCAACACACACACACACACACACACACACACACACACCACACACACACGCCGTGGGGACCGCTCGGTGGTGGCAGTTTACAGCCAGCCAGTGTGCCTTGCTGCCGCTTTGCTTCCTCGCTCCTAGCTTGAAAGCTTCCTTCTGCGCCTCGGCTACCGCTTACGACTCCGTTTCCTCAATAAGCCCAACTAAAGTTAGCGTCTTCTGGCCGCTGGGAAACGGCCGATCCTGTCGCCGGCTTCCGTTCCTCGCCTGTCCTCTGGCTCTAAAAGCCCTTTCGGGCTCCCTTGGAGGAAACAGGCAGGAAGATCAGGAAAGGGTGGCCGGGAATGGGATGAGGAGGGATACCGGGAATTTGAGATGTTTCAGCGGGAAATGCGGGCGAGAGCTTGATCAAGAACTGGGTGTCCTTTGCGGTGCGTCAGCGACCCTCGCTTTTCACCGAGGCACCAAAACCTCACCTGGGAACGCAGGGTGGAGCGGAGCCCCAATCCCACGCGCAGCGCAAAGAGTGCTTGGCTGCCCTTCGGACTGCAATTTTGCAGCCTCTGCGACTGTATGTTTGATATCCGTTTCCAAACTTTTTCTAGTTGTCTTGAGGTGATCCCACCGTCTGGGAAAATGTCCTTATTTTTTTTATTGGGAAGGAGGAGCGCCTGTTCATATGCAATTACGGTGTGGTGTTTCTACTTTGCCTCCTTCGTCTGGTGGCATTATTTACAGAGTAAGCACTATTAAATAGGGTCTACTGTAAGATAAAAGGTGAGTTTTGGTTGTTTTCCTAAAGGGAAAAAAATCAGTTTGCAAATAGAATACTTGTGATTGTACTCAGATCCTAGCTCCTATATCAGAAGTAAGGGCCCGCTAAATAAAGTGGAACCACACTGTTGTTTTCTTTTTCTTTTTTTAAAAAAAATCAAATGCCTTCCATTCTATTGATGAAGAAATTGTGAACTGTTCGTAAGTTCTTACTAGAAGAGCAAACTAAACAAAACTCTCATTCATCTGTACCAGCCAGTTTCAACACAGCACAGAAAGAACCATCTTGTGTTTGTTTGCCAAGTAGGTGATAGATATAAGGAACCTGTCAGACAGAAGGCCGGTAATTTAATATCATAAGTGTGGCTGAACACACAAGAATTTCTTTAAGCCTAAATAGATAAAACTCGGTTTCCCGCACTCTTTTAAGTTTTTTATTTTTAATGTTTAAAGTCTGCCTTTCTTATTTATCAATTCGTAGAGTGTGATGAATACCTAACAAAAAAGCAAATAAAATTCTTAGCTCATCCACACTTCTGAAAAACCACAGCTGGAGAGCAACAATTGATAGAGGAGTGTGGTATTCTTCAAACCCACCAACCGATGAGCTCTCAGGCAGAACTATAAAATCCTCGGTTATGATCCAGGAACAGCACTTTTGTGTTCTAACTTAGTTTAAAGCAGCTAACTACAGTAGTATGTGTGGAGATGTGAATAGAATTGCTCAAGCAGCCAGGCTTCCAATAAAAATAAAGCAAGGATCAGGCAATTACACATTTGATAACCTTTAAAGTACCAGAGGATTTTTTTTATTGGTTTTGCTGCAAAAAGAACAAGAACAAGAACAAGAAGGGAGAGGATGTGAAAATAAAGTGACTAATCTGTAAATGGTTTGAAAGTGATCTTGTCGCCGTCTTTTGATCATCGCATTAGAGCAGACTGTCTAGCATAATGCTGTTTTAGCTTAATATAACCCTGAATAGTCCAACTTCCTGATTATGCAAATATTCTGTTTTCAGGTCTAACCAGTAATGTTCACCCCCAACTATTATCTTATTTGAACGTAAGTAGTAGATTGTAATACCGATGATAACTTTTATATAATGTTTTAAGAACTAGCTTATCTTTCTATCAAATGTACTTAATTAGGTTTGGCTCAAATCACAGTTCATAATTAGTAATAATTACAAAATATGTCTTCCAACATTCCCATGTATAGTTTTTTGTCTGAATTTAATGTATTTGCTTTAAGAAGACACAAACTTTCCTACTTAGGAAAATGTGGAAAAACTATATGCCAAAAGGATCTGTCATAGAGAAAAGAGATTATTCTTTTATTACATTTATATTACACTTTTTATTCAAGAGCTCAAGATGGTATACATGGCACTCCTTCCTCCCTTTTTCCAGTGAGATAAATCCAATTGAGAAAAGTATTCATTCAGATTCACCTAGTGAGTTTCCAGAGTACAGGGTCTCTATGGTACCAGGCTGATGCCTTAACTTCAACACTACATAGATTTAAGTGAAGGATAAGTGGAAATTCTGGATGAAATTGGGAAAGTTTCAACTGAATAAGATAAACCCCAACATTTCCTGAAGCTCTCTTTATAAATAATACTCATTCCATAGATATTTGAAAAATCAACCACATAAATGTGTAGTACAGAGTGAACATGACACAGGGACTTATAGTTTTAATCAAACAGGTAACGTAAAATACTTGAAATTTGGAGGATGCAAAATAAATGGCATGACTGGAATAGCTGGAAACCAGTGTCCAGTTTAATCATTATAACTTTCTCACATAGTATCTAGGAACTTTAGTGGAAATTCTTTTAGTGGTGATTCTTTTAATTGAATTACAGGTATCCACAGGTTGGATACAACCTTGTTTCATGATATAGAATGTCACAAAATTCACACAGATGTAGATCAAATGGTATCTACTCTGTTTTAGACAGGAATAATTGCTGCTTGTAATTTTGATACTTATCCATCCCAGTTGGACTTGGGGTGGGGGGGAGATGCCATGCAGATGTATGGAAAAATAATCCCCATAAATCTGGTTTGGGTTTCCTTTGGAGTAAGCATGTGTATAGGACTGAAATATTTACTTTATTGAATCCATCAGCAGTCCTGTACAGCAAGTATAAAAAAATACCATTAACTGAAAGACTGTCCCTGCGGCTCAGGAGAGGTGGAGACTGTGGGTCACATGCTCCTTAGATGTTCCTTTTATGTGGAGATTAGGAAAAAACATATTCTGCTAATAACTGCTAGGTGTCCTGGCCGTTCCGACACTACCTATCTTCAGTGGCTGCTTAAGGATGAACAGTCCATAACTACAGTGCAGGTGGCCAGATTCTGCGCAGTAGCACTGGGGATTCATTGCAAACACATGTCTTCTCCACCATAGCGATGTTATATAACAATTGTGGCAAACCCTTTGCACTGCTTAGTCATTTCCCTTTTAGCGTTGAATCTACAACGGGCCACACAGTTTAGGGATTGCAACTATCGTATAGTCAGACCATGTATAATTGACCCTGGATTTTATGATAGATTTTAGTTGTTATTTATTATTTTATACTAGAATTTTTAAGTGTATATATACTGAGTGCTTTTATTTCTTCTGGTCTCTGGTCTAAGACTGCAATAATAAATACAATAGTACTTTATTGAATGTTAAAGAGAACAACTTTATAAAAAATGGGTTGCCTTTGCTGTGTCATTCAGCTGACCTACATACAACTCTGTGAAGTTGTCCCCTATGAGGGTGCCAAGTCCAGGATTGTATTTTCCTTCAACAGCAATTTTCTTAGACTGATGACTCAGGGGAAAAAAAACTCACATTCCTACTACCTAATATGCAGCATAAGTGGAGATGACAGAGGGTGAAACTGGGAGCTGCCAGATGTCTGCACCTGCCTCACCTTTATGCTATCACTTCCTCCCCGATCCAAACTTCTTTGGGGGAAATGTATCGGTGTTCAGAAATTCATAAGCAACAAGTGCTGTTCAATATTGTCAAAAAGAAAATCTAGCAAAGGAAGGAAAACAAGCAGTAAACGTTATTTCCTTAGACATTGGGATGGCTGTCATCCCATATTTCAGCCTGGTTTCCAGAAACTGCTGGCAAGCTGCCTCGGAAAACCTGCTGAATAGATGTATCTTAATCTGATCTGCAGATATGCATTTTAACTATATGAAACTAAAGTCTCCTGCTTTGTGTATCACCCTGCACTCAATTCTATAGGCTTCCCAGTCTTTCCTAACAGTGGGCTACATCTAATATTGTTACCTCTGGGAGAAAACTTATTTGGAATATAGTAATAGTTGAGGCCAAAAGGCAGGAACCTAGGGAAGCCGACATATTAAAACAACAGGCTAGATATCTCCAATAGTCCCTATCCTGCTTATTTTCAAGCACCAAAGGGTTTGTCCTGGTAGCGATTCTAAAATCAATTCAAGAGAAAAAGTGGATGACAGCATGGTACCACTTGAACTGACATAAAAACATGAGAGTGCATATAGCAATACGAAGAGGCCTAAGGAAGAAATGTTCTTCAAAATGTGTTACAGTAATTAGTTTTTGGCTTCTCCTACTAAGTACCTTTCATACCTTTCAGTCCATCTGCATTTAAGAGACAAAGTCTACTCTTTTGAAGACAGCAATGTCCACATTTTGGATAGAGAGGACCGTCGGTTTGAAAGAGGAGTCAAAGAGGCCATCTGTGTCAAAACTGACACAGAGGGGGAAGGATACAACATCATCTATCTCCAATCTACAACACAGTCCTTTCAACAATTCCAAGAAAACTCCACACCCATTTGCCCTACTCAGGTGACCCTGATGACACAGATAGATGTCCAGGTGGCCTCAACGGCTCTATAAAAGAATGCAAATGACCAGTTGTCTGCAAGGAGTATAAATCCTTCCATTCCCCACCCTCCAGTCACAGCTGAAGAAATTTCTTGGATGAGAAGTGGAATGTCTTCAAAGAAAAACCAAAAAGTCCAGTTGCCTTTGAAAAAACACCTTTGGGACTACCTTTCATACTGTATGTGTGGATCCAATTTATTAGCTAGACCATGTTGTGTGGGAAATTTGGGGGTCTCATATCATTTCTGGGGAACTCAGGATTGGAAAGACAGTGTTTGTTTGTTTGTTTGTTTGTTTGTTTGTTTGTTTGTTTGATTGATTGATTAGCCATCCCAGTCTACATGACTCTGAGCAACTTATAAAATATGAAGTAAAATTATAAAGAAAGAGTATATAATCTAAAAGAATAAGCCCCAGGGAAAAGTAACCATCACTTAAATTCCCAAAACATTTTAGAAAGAGTCTTCCACATATTCTAACTGGGGGTCTAGGGATGGAGCCAGGTTTTAAGACATTTAAACAGGGCCATGATGGAGGCCATATGAATCTAGGGTGGGATGGTATCTCAAGAGTAGGTGCCATGATGGAGGTCTACCTCTCTGTGAACCTGTTAAGGATCCACAGAAATGTTCTGTCTCCACTGGGGTCAATGGAGCTCATTCAGAGATTAAGTGATAATCATTTAAAAACTTTCTTCAAACTAAAATCATGCTTTACATTTTACATTTTCTTGGGAATAAATGAACTATTTATATAAATAGTATACAAAGAAAGGAATACAGTGTTGTTTAAAATTTATTCCACGTTTTTTCAGAAGATAGTAAGAACTTTAACCATGTTCAAGGATTAATTGCAACGTGGTTGGATTATTGCAACGCGGTCTACATGGGGCTACCCCTGAAAAGTGTTCGGAGACTACAGTTGGTCCAGAATGTAGCCACTCGAGCAGTCGTGGGTGCACCTAGGTACTCCCACATTACACCAATCCTCCATGAGCTGCACTGGCTTCCTATTGGTCTCTGGTCACAATTCAAGGTGTTGGTTATTACCTTTAAAGCCCTATATGGCTTAGGGCCAGGCTATCTTCGAGACCATCTTCTACCACATAGCTCCCAATGACCGGTAAGATCCCACAGAGTTGGTCTCCTCCAGGTCCCGTCAGCTAAACAATGTCGCCTGATGGGTCCGCGGGGGAGGGCCTTCTCTGTGGCTGCCCTGGCTCTCTGGAATCAGCTACCTCCTGAGGCCAGGACCACTCCCACTCTACTGGCCTTCCGGAAAATGGTGAAAACCTGGCTTTTCCAGCAGGCTTGGGGCCGTTGATCTCACCATTGCGATCTTGTGAGATCCGGCCATGAGCGGTGTGTATGGGTTTTTAATGTCTCTTATTGTATATTGTTCATACTGTCTTTGTTGTAAGCCGCCCAGAGTCCTCGGAGAGTTGGGCAGCATAGAAATATGATTAATTAATTAATTAATTAATTAATTAATTAATTTCTTGCTTCTCTGCCCTTTTGAAGGAGAAAAATAATACAAAAGAAAAAATAATACTATTTGAAACAATTAATAGCAGATGTATGCAGTGAATGTCATTTCTTCAGTTAACAGTAGAAATAGCTCTGTAATGCAACATGGACAGCTGTTAAAGAACCAATCAGTCATTTTAATTATTTTCTCCAAAATAAATATCCTAAGTAGTAGATGCCACTTTGTTGATTTCCATCCTTTGAAATGACATCAGATGTAAACCAAAGGTACATGGTGGATATCAATACTAACATTCTTGGTCATCAGGAATAGCTACATGTTCCATGCAAACTTGTGTCCTGATATTTTTTTTTAAATGAGATGAAGTCAGTATGTGTGTGTGTCCATGTTAAACCCTTTCCCTGCTCATCTATTTGCTTCTCTGAATCTCACACAATTTGAGGGTGGAAATGTTGGGCCTTTCTAAATATATTTGCACACAGCATATTGTGAGTAGTCTGTTGGGTACCATGTTCCTCAAGAAATTAATGACCTCTATATTTTACAGTATGTTAAATTGTAGTCAATTAATCAGAATAGTCAAGCAACTAAGTAGATATAAAAACTAGTAAGGGTAAATTTTTATTTGGGATATTTCTGCATTTTGAGTTTCATTTCCTCTTATATATTCACAATGAAACTACTAAATGCCAGGTTTTGTAATCTTGCCTTATATTAAACTTATCTTGTAATGATGAGCAGTGCAGTGAAACACAAATGAGGAAAAGGTTTAGGACTGTAAGCAAAATCTTGTTATATTTCTCAGTTTGAGCAGTGAGATTTCAAAGATTGTAGTGTTAATTTACAATTTGGTTTTCTTAAAACGAGGTTCTAGAGACTAATTGGCATTGCAGCGTTTGCACTGATTTATAATCAACATATTTAATGCTTTCAAGGAGGCTCAGAGCCTTAAAAGTAATGAACTGCCTAGGAAGGCATCCCAAAAGGCTGTATCAGCTGCATTACAGATTTTTTTTCCTTAAAGCCAGCTTAAAAGATCACTGAACAATTTACTTGAAACTTTGTTTAGAAATTACGTGCTCAAACAGGTATTGATCTACCCATGCTATCACATGGCATAACTAGCACCCTTAATTTCCTGTTCTAGCAGATTAAGTTGTAATAATGTGACATAACAATGAATCTCCTCCCAGAGTTTTGGTGAGAGTAGCTTTCTCAGAGCATTGTACATCTGAAATATTCTCAGCCTTTCATGCAAGTAAACCTTCCATTTGTTTGCTAAGTTGGTAGCTCAGAGCACATAAAGGGGCACACAATCATCATGCCAGGTACCACTGAGACTTAAATAAAACAGACATCATGAACTTTCTACAGTTCAGTTTTGAAAAGCCATCTTACAAATTTCCACACCCCATAAATAGTGACTTCACCATCAACTTGCCTTGTTGTGCTGATTATTTCCTGAAGTGTTAGAATGTAGAGGGTTGTCATTCTACTCTAAATATTTATTTGCAGCAATTCTTGCATGATGTTCCTCAGAGATAATGCTGGACAAAATCCATGTCCATTCCTGTTCTGCAGAAACCTTTATTTCTTTATTATTTGTCATGGATTCTTTGTTTAAAATTGTTTCCAATTAGATTGACCCAGATTCAAAAGAACCAGAAAGGGCACTGGATTCTGGACAGGTGGATTTTTTTTTTCCTTTTCCTAGAAAGCTGAGGGAAATCTTTTATTCTGGGTGAAAAAAATAAGATACAAAAGTGAAATATGAAGCTTACACATGTAGTTATGAATGTTTTCTATTCTACATTTTGTTCTATTGCTGTAGTAATCACTACACTCTATTACTCCTTAATTACTATTACAATAGAACACTTTATAGTAATGGAATTATATAACAATATTTTCTTACAAACACTCTCTTAATTCCTCTTTCTGGAATTTCTTCTGCTTTTTTCTTCCCTGTTTCTTCCCTGTTTCTGGCCCAGCACGCAGAGTTAATACAACTTTCCACATTGTATTTTTAAATTTGTACTTTTCTACTTGTACTTTGCTATGCCTCTCTACTTCTTTTCCTCTGGACAATTCACTCCCTTTGAAGGAAAAGCACTTTCTTTGATTTGGCTGGTGACTGTAGAGTCTGCAAGGAAACCACCAAGGACCACACAGTTCAACTGTGAGCTACAAATATTCTCTTTTATTAGGTGCATCTCATCCTGTCTCCTCCCACATCTTTTTTAAGACTGCAACTTTATTGACAACTCTGCCAGGCTGACATGGGAAGAAGGCCGCACAGTTGCCTATAATTTTTCTAAGTAGCCTTCTCTTCTATCCATCTATTCCCCGATTTCTTCATTTCCTCTGAGACAAACATACAAGTATGCTTCCATCTCTTCGGGCTTTGAAAAATCAAGGGGAATTCATTTCTTTCCTATGCCAACATTGGTTGTTTAAATCTCTTCAACATGCAATCTGGAGGTTTAAGATAACCAGTGCATCATATTCAGCCTAGTCAAAAGCATTCTGTTTGCAAGCAGGAATGGTGCAAGAAGTTGAAGACAAAACAGGAAATTTAAGCCTGACCACAGTTTCTCGTGATATTTTTTCTACCCCCTAAGTATAAATATCTATACTTTAGTGCTATAGATATTTCTTCTATACTACTAAAACTGTCATTACTGTGACTTTTAATTGGGTAAAACAATGCATCGTAACGCAACAGTTTTTGAATCAAGGTACTTACATGGACTAACTTGCAGAATTCATTCAAAATTCAGGACCCATGACTCCCAAAGGAATGAAATTTGGGGAAGTTGTTGCTCTTTCACTGCTACTGGCTGCTGCTGCAGTCATGTGGTTTTTATTTTCAATGTCCCATAACAATTTCCCAGCCAGGCTCATAATTCCTCCTTTCCCTACCCAGCAGCAGGCATTTACCCGATGTTAGAAAGGGAAGGGAAGAAGCAGGAGGAAAGAACCACTCCACATGCACTCCCCTGACCTGTGCTCTTTTCCCCATGAACTTTCCCCATGAACTTTTCCTCAACCTATGCTGTCTCCATGTGCCTTCCACAAGCCCCACATGTATCCCCTCTTGTACATCACCAAGCATCCTTCCTGAGCCATGTCACATCCCTATGCGCATACCCTGACCTATGTGGCACTTCTTGTGCATCCCCAGGTACCCTTCCTAACCTGTTGTGCCCTCATAAACCTTTCATGATCTGCATGACACCTCTTGCTCACTCCCACGCACCCTCCCCAATCCACACTCATCCTTGTGCCTTCCCTGACATATGCGGCACCCCTTGGGCACCCCTACACACTCTTCCCAACCTCTTCTAATCTGATCTTGCCAGTTCTCAACCCATGCCAGTACCCCGATCCACCCTACTCACAATCCTTTACTGACACAGCATCTCACATATATACTTGCAACCTTCATGCATTCTTCTTCACCTGTACTTCCCTCCACAAGCTCCACTAGATCCATGTGGCACCTCTTACACACACCTGTGGCCCCCATGCACCCATCTTTGTGCTATCCTCCCACTTGCCCTACCCAAATAACACCTCTCATGCACCCTTCGGTACCCTTCCTGACCTATTTGCATTCCTCCCTGACCCATGTAATATCTCTGGCACATAATCACACATCCTTTCCAGTGGTAGGTTTTAAATTTTTTTACTATCGGTTCTGTGGGTGTGGCTTGGTGGGCGTGGCACAGCTTGGTGGGTGTGGCTTTGTGGGCATGGCAGGGGAAGGATACTGTAAAATCTCCATTCCCATCCCACTCCAGGGGAAGATTACTGCAAAATCCCCATTTCCTCCCGATCAGCTGGGACTTGGGAAGCAGAGAATAGATAGGGGTGGGGCCAGTCAGAATTTTTACTACCGGTTCTCCGAATACTCAAAATTTCCACTACCGGTTCTCCAGAACTGTTCAGAACCTGCTGAAACCCACCTCTGGTCCTTTTCAACCCACACAGCTAGGGAGGGAGGGAGGAAATGGTAGAGATGAAGGGAGGAAGGGAAAGAGGAGGGAGAAGAGAGGAAAGGAGTCACTGAAGGAAGGACCAGGAAGTGGGAGGAAGGAAGAAGAGGAACAGGGAAGAAGAAAGGGAGAAAGTAGGGGAAGAAAAAAAAGTAAGGATGGAATGAAGGAAAGAGAGGGAGGGAAGAAAGAAAGGAATGGAAGGAAGAAGCAATAATGATTTTTGAAGGTTGCTCCCTGCCAGTTTCCCACAAGGATATTCAATGGGAAAGCTGGCAGGAAATCGGAAGTCACTATCACTTCTACTGTACTTTTGCAAATTATGATGGTCACCTGCTATTTATTTGGTTATTTCATCTAAGCATGTCATTCATAATTTTTCTGCGTGATTCATAGATTAATATGTACAATCATAATAATCTAGAGTCTAAGTCTGAGCCCACAAAAGCATATTCAAGGGCCAACATTCTCATACAATCAGCTTAATGCGACTTTGCTGTGAATCCTCTGCATGCAAGAGTACATATTTCGATGTTGCCAGTGACTGGAGCTTTTTGCTGGCACCATGGTTACAATTTATTTAAATTTATTTATTTATTTATTTATTTTTATTTATTTATTTTAAATTTATATACCGCCCTTCTCCCTGAGGACTCAGGGCGGTGTACAGCCAGAATTAAAAAACATAAAATACAAATATTAAAAAACAATTAATATATATATAAATTTGGCCCAAAATTAAAAATACAAACCAATTAAAACATTTAAAATTTCTTCTTAAGCCAGCCCAGCTTGCTGGAAAAAGTGGGTTTTAAGGGCACGGCGGAAGGCACTAAGGTCTTGGATTCTCCTTATCTCTGGGGGCAACTGATTCCAGAGGGTAGGTGCCCCCACAGAGAAGACCCTCCCCTGGGGGTCACCAGCCTACATTGATTGGCTGATGGCACCCTGAGGAGGCCCTCTCTGTGGGAGCGCACGGGACGATGGGAGGTCGTCGGTAGCAGC